ATTATCAAATCTCGTTTGCTCTGAAATATAGACAGCGCCAATAACTGAACTGTATGTACGTCTCCGTATATTCCAAAAATATTCGGTATTTATTGTAATAAAAATAATATATCTAACAATGGCGTGTTGTGTTATTCGGTGGTGTGGGAGAAAACAGCAAAACATCTAATTATAAAGCAAACGGACTCAATTATCATCGGTAATTAAAAATTAAATATGTAATTTTGCAATTTTCGTCCATTATAGCAAAGCTCAAGTAAACTGGTCGATTTGAAGTGAAACAATTGACGACACCCGTCAATTGTTTCGAATTCGGGCTGGCCAACCGGAGCGCAGTTGTCACAATAATGATATGGCAGAATAGTTTTAAAAACAAATTAAATGACATTTCGTGTCTATTTCTGGTTACATACCCGATAACCTGAGAGCATAAAGGTGAGTCACAAAAAAACTGTTTTACTAGATTAAGTGGTTTAGGTATTTACTATTAAATAACGGTCTTCCAAAAAATATACGATACCTAAGAATATTGTCTAAAGAGTGCTTATATGTTACACGATAAGATGTTACTACACCCGATCGTATGAAATCCTGAAAACAGGCTAAAAGAAAAGTCTAAAACCAATTATTATAAATGAAATATCTAACTTTGCATGTTATTTTTATATGGAGATATTTCTCTTTAAGTACTACAGAGAATCTGCTACATTTTGGTTTTCAACTGTAGCTGTCATTAAATTTATATTTATTCCAAAACGCTTTAACGACACGCTATGTCGCCCCCTGCCCCCGTCATTCGCCATTGGGCGCCTGTCGACGTCGAATCTGTGTCAATTTTTCTCGCCCTGTTCTTATTTATATACCTACATATTAATTTTAAGCGTGCGGGTTGTGGGATGCGAGTGGCGGTCTCCCACATCTCACCTCCTAAAAAAGTAGGTTGGCTTTGAAAGACCTCGCCTTAAATGCTTTGAATTTACTGATACCTGCACCCTATTTCGAAACAAAATAGTCCCACACTCACCATATGGACCACTTAGACCCTCTTGTAAGAAATAAAACTGGTAACTCGTACATTTTAGGCAATATTTTCGGTTTCAGTATTTTTTGTTTGTAATGGCCGTTAAGAGTCTTAAGCATAAAATTACGATAAGAAATTAAACACTGTTGAGTAAGAAACGTACTAATACCGACCAAAATACCAGCTTCGCCTCTAAAGCTCTGAAGATATATACATGTCTAAAACACAGGTACACATTTACATAGTTTAGGCATCTCAATTATAAAGACTGTATAATAATTAAGGCTGGTTTTACAGCTGTGCGTACGATCCGTACGGACTGTCCGCCTGCGGGCCATCCACATGCGTAGAATCCTCAGTACTCTGAATCGAGTATATAATTTAGTGTGAATGTTCATGGAAGACAGTCGCCTACAATGAATGCACGGATGGCATGCGTGGGAGTTCACGCGGAGCGTGTTACGTACGGACCAATCCGCGTCACTGTAAAACGATGTTCTAACGCCACACGTGTTACTCCGCTCCAGTGCTCCGCGCGGATAAATCAGCACTGCTCTGAAACCTGCCTAAGGTTCTTTTTTTGTTAATTTAATACTTCTTGGTGCCTGCTACTTCGTCTGCGTAGAATAAGTAGTTCGAGTAGCCGTCGTAGTTGAGAAATGATTGGTTACACCACCATAGAACACTAATACACCACACAACACCATACAAATTTTCATCCCCTATTTCACCCTCTTTAAAATTTCTTTTTGTGATAAAATGTGTAATAAATAGCGGATGTCCTTCTCCTAGGTCCCATCTATTTCTATACCAATATTCATCAATACAATACAATACAAAAGGTTCCATTTATCTCAGAAAGGTTTATAAGTAGTTACATTTCGTGTATTACAACTTTCTTAGATCTGGAGTCTATACTAGGTTGGAGAACTGTGTTACAGATCACCAGGCTCACTCCCTCATCAAATTTGGTTCCGCGGTTTAGGCATCATTTAGATAATTTTGGAAAAAATATATAGAAAAATGGAGGATATACTCTGAATAATGAAAACACATTTGCTAAAAATTTTCACGATAGACAAAAATCACAAATTTACCTCAAAATTTTACAAAAAAAAATACCGCTGTATTCAACCTATTGAAACTAAAAAAAAATCGTTGGATTAGGTAAATTATAGGTAATTTACATATTCCAACGTCTTTTTTTATGTCAACTGAACTAAATAGAACACGTATACTATACGATATGCATTTTTCAAATGGCTTCACTTTTGTTTGTAAAAAAAATAATTCTGAAATAAATCCAGTATCCCAAACAAAACAAAACCCAAGCAAAATGAACCGTATTAGTACGGAAGTAAATTTAATTCGAATCGAGGTAGTGTCGACTCCTAATGACACTATTTATGAAAGCATAGGATATTCGTTTTAGGCCGAAGTACGAAAACTCCTAGTGAAGATTTAAGAACACGTAAGTAATGAAGATAAAAGCATAAATAAAGGACAGTATCCCATGAAATCATACTTCGACAGCACTCGCGCCCGAATAAAATATAATAATGAAATAGACTTGCAACGAAACCAAACCATAACTTCCTGAAGCTTCTACCGACATATAGAAGATCCTTTAAAATCACAGTGGCGCTAAATAATGACCGCTACGCAATTTCAAGTAACCGGGTGTTTTCGAAGAGCTCCCTCGTACAAAAGCGTGTATCTCGCGAACCGCTCAAGGAAATGGATCTTTTTTAACATAACGGATAAGACAGCCAATGAAGAGGGCGAATCCAAATAAACGCAGACACACGACAACTGGACAAGCGGCTAATGACATACATATAACTAATAACTTTTACAATTCTGCGAAATTTACTTATATACAACCGAATTACTCTAAAACAATGTCAAACTTTAATTCGTTATTAGTAAAATTACTCATATTACCAAAAAAAAATCAGGGGAGCATGTTTTAGGTTTTCACGACTGTTGGGGAATATTTACGTTCTGTTTTAAATTCAATTATAAAACTTAAACGTAATTAAAACCTAAATTGATTCTTAAAACAGGACGTAAATATTTTAAAACACTCATTAGAACCTAAAACATGCTCCCTGAACTCATTTTTCGAGATGGCATTTTCGCCTTTTGTATAAATCACGACGATATCTACTTGATATAATAATTCCGCACGATTGAATTGAAATTGTTAAAAATATTTATAAGAAGTTCAAGTCAAAATTTATTATTATCCCTAAACAAAATTTATAGAATAAGTTATAATATCAGAACAAACTATCACACTAAAACCCGTAACATACATAACTATTACTCAAGGCCTAAACATAGCTACATAAACATAAATGACCTAACACGTTTCTTTGTTTCCATTTAGGTATCCTGGGACTCAGACAATAATGATAGCTAATAGAAAATAAAAGACATAAATACACTCGCCGATGGCCGAGTACCTGTCACAAATCTTTTATTACAGCAATGAACGAATGAATAAGAGTAAATAGACTATCTTACGTTGTAAGGTATATAAGCCGTTTATATCCTGTTTTCTTCACTTATATGTTCTCGTAAACTTTTGTAGTGTTTGTACAAATTGCTGGTACGAAACGAGGGCATTCCAGGTTCAAGATGGCTGTATATAACCAATTTTCCCAAAACGTATACCTAATTCTCCTACACCTATTAATTTTATAATATTTATGTCTTTTTATGGCACCTAGTGGCGGGACGAGTACCTGTAGGGCTAGCACGCAAGAGTACGACTTGCGCGAGAGCGAAATAAAGCGCGAGATACTGCTATTCTCGCATAGAGATTCGGGCTGTATGTCACTCTCGCGCGAGTCGCACCCTATCGTGCTAGCCCTACTGTAGTGCGATTCACGCGAGGTCAAGTTATCACAATATCGTTGAAGTTACGTAGTCGTTCGATCGAAATCCTATCCAAAATTAGTATACACGTATCACTTGAACGAACGTTGATATGAATAGAATGAAAACGTAACGACTAATGAACGACAACTTGGATTGTGAAATTTGACGTTTAGTCGTCAAAAGTTTATTGAAAGAACTGTCAAAATTTTAGCAGAATATGTATGACTTGTCGTTTAAAATCGAATTAAGTTCGATTCATATACCCAGAATACGCTTTAACGATATTTGGATCGAACGACTTTAAAATTGGACTCGTTGAAGTTCGACTGTCACACGTGAATACGTAGAAGCAGCGACGACTAAATCGTTACGATATCATAACGGTTTGATTACGCAAATCGCACTATTGATGATAGTAAGGGAGCATTATCAGAACCATGGGACCTGTAAAGGGCCCGAAGCGTCGGTTTGTTTGAAACAAACAAATATACGCGATTGAGATCCGTACAAATATGTAGTTTAATTTCCCTAATATACGCAATTTTTAAATTGAGTGCAGTTTATTTGTTTTTGTTTTATTATATATTATTACATGTAGGATATCACAATGAAACCTGTTCTCACAATGTTATTACCTCTAGGCAGAACCCATGTTGCGGAACATTTTGTTTTGTAATGCAAAAAACCATATTTGATGAGAGTGTTAAGTGCAAATGGGCATAAAGAATGTAACAACCAAAACAAATTCAAGTATATATTCGAATTTGTGACGTCACAAAATTTCAGAAGCGTGTACATTGGTACATGAACAGTTCGAAATAAGGTAGATACGTTACTCACTTTATTTTTGTTGTATTATTTGGTTTGATTTGTTATTATTGAATGTTAATGTTTCGTAATAATGAAAGGATAATAAAACAAGTATTATGATGCTACTTAAATTATATTTAGAAAATTATAAGGGGATTCCTCATATGACAAATTAAAATGCATTTTCATGAAATGTATTAATTTTACGGCCATTAAATATTGCGTTATACTATACATATTGACATTTTAATACTTTTGCCTAATTTTAATTTGGAGAATAATTGTAGGTCTACATTATAAATTTTATATTTAAGAATAATCTACCTAGGTATTCCATTATCATTATGTAAAATCTTTTTATTTCAGCAGATGTTGTAGGTGTGTATGGAGTTATATGGCCAATTTCACCACTTACATTCAAAATAAAATATCATATTTAGATGATAACGGATAAATATCATCCTTTTTATTTATTTTTTATACTTCGGCTGACAATCCCAAGAAGTCCATTAGTTGAGCACTGAAACAGAAATATTATTAATGTGAAATAATTGTAGAGTCATTATCGAGAATTACTTTAACGTCGAATATCATCGTAAATATGTTGCAAATATGTAATATTACTTTGTAGTGATTTATTATGACTGAATACCAGCTTATTAAAGAAAGTAGCAATATTGGTTCACATAAATAGAGTGTCAAACAACCACACAAATGCATGGTCTCATAGTAGGGAAGCCCCTGTACTATGAGCAACGAAATTCAGTCTGAGGCACTTCCCAATACAAATATACAAAATACACAGACATAAAACATGGACAATTTTCCATCCTGATATAGTTTGCTACTATGATAAATTTAGTTAATGACCAAATAACATAGGGTGTAAGGTAATTCAATCTTTTCAAACGTGCAGTTTTCATCATGATTTACAAATGTATATACGGCCACTGGGATTCGAATCTCTTAATTGATTTCTTTCATAGAAAAAAACTGTAAGGACAATAAAACAAGGATATATTATATTAATGAGATAATATTGGCACCTCGTATTACGAATTAAAGGGCTAAATATGGTATATCATACCAAAATTGTAAGATTTTTAATTTTATTTCGATACCAAACAGATGCTTTTAGGGTTGCAGTTGACTACCCAATACCCCTTTTTAGGGATGATAATAAATTTAGTAGTGCAGAGATTCCTTTTAAAAGTCAGCTGTAAAATAAGAAGAGCCGTAAAAATGATGCAGTTAAAAGGAAAAAGGATGAAACTTGTAATCAGTATGTAGATTGGATGACCATTTTATGCAAAATCTTTATGCGAATCTCAAGAACGAGTCATTTATCTCGTATTTCTTTAGAAAATGCAAAGTATGTAAGCACTGGGTGCTTGGTATCAATAATGGCATAGTATAATAAACTCAAGTATGATAACTCCACGCAAACTTAGCAACGTGGCTTGTAACGTAGATGCGTGTGAAATCACTATTAAAAGTCATCGATTTCAAAGACGTCGATAAGCGCCCAGTTACACGACGCGAAAGTTTTCGCGCGGCCGCCGTTCGGTGACCACCCAGTTGCCGCGCTTTCACGTACATTAATGGCGAAACTGCATTCTATTTACTAGGCAACAACATTCAAATTCCTCTGAATAATACAACCGCACGGTCGCCGCGCGGAAGCTGCGCGTGATGCCGCGCGGCCTCTACGTAGTCCAAAGATAAGCCAGTCTCGCCCGCGCGTCCGGGGCTCGTTTAAGTTAAAACGTAAAAGCTGAACAAATAGAGCGTGTTTTACCATGACAATTAGATGCACGCGGTCGTTGTGCGGCGGCCACGCGATCTCCGCGCGGCGTGATCGCGATGAAATTCGTGTCGAATAAACGCGCCCTAAGGAAGTAATAATAAGTAAAGTACCTAATTGTCGTATGTGTGCCCGACCACCGCGTTCCGTGTACGGACGCACACATTCGCATAATCTGGCGATGCATTTGCACTGCATAACCCTGGTCATTTCACGTGTATTTCATTATTATGCGAATGTATGTATCTGCACACGGCGCGTGGCGGGCGTGCATACATACAAGCCGTGCTGGCATGTTTGTATGGAGTTACCATACTTGTCTCATTTCTATGGTAATAAAATAATATGCATGAAATCGAATCTAATTCCATAAAACAAACTACTCAAATAATATTAAGTTTTGACAAATGATTAATGAATTTAATATTGTAGCAACAAGCGATTACGCAGATTATTTCATTGTAATTTCGCTACTTACATACACATTAAGCGGGCGACTGTACTCGCTTCGTGTACGAAACACGATACGATTATGCGTGTATGTAATCACATATTTTCATATAATATAATAAATGCGTTGAGTATTTTCTTAAAACAGTATTAGATTAAAAATATGTATATACACGGCAGAATAACAAATAATGTTAGGAGTAAAATGTAAAAATGCTGTGTCCTTCACACTAATCTTCTTTTCTAATCGCTTTGAAATTAATTAAGTCATTTATCTGTAATATTCGGATTAGAAACTTCTTTGAATAAAAGTTCAAGGCTCTTATATTTTAAACTTAGGTTTTTTAAATTAATTTTACACTTGTTCTGAAATCAAACATCCAACAACAAAAATTCGTGGAACTTTTGAATGCAAGTCCCGGTGTGGCACTAATGTAACGCAAATTACTCAAAAGTTAAAGAACGTACCATTTATTGTTTCTCATATCGTCGAAGTAACTTTTCCAGTTTATTTGTTTATGGGAATTCAACAAGCACACTTACGTAAGTTACAGAAATGTCATGTATGTTAATTTAACCCTTTCGGAGAATCCCTCCACATTCTAGGTATGCGTGTACTAACATGTTGTGCAAACGGCTACTAATGTTGAACATTCTTGTTAAGATACCTACTCGGATTCTTAGAATTATACCAATCGTTGGTAACAAACGATCCTATCTCGTAGAAGGGACGACCGCGATGGATTCATTACCAGAATTAATTAACGAGATTAACGCCGCTCGTTTATTTAAGAAGCTATTTGCCGAATGTACAGTGAAGAAAGCTAGCCATTATAATAGCTAAGTTAAATATCGTTATAATACCGAACTTCTAAAATCGATCTTTTAAAAGTCCTAAAATAGAACTGGTGTCAAATGACGATCTTTCGTAATTCTTTCACGAAGCATTTCGTTGATAGCCTCCGTCCGACACGAAAAGGACACGAAACTAAAATGATGACCGTTGTTTCTTATTTCGAATACGTAACGTACATAATCTACAATATTGCTCTGTATGGATCAATTTTACCTCTATGCCAATTATGACAAGAACGGTCAAAAGTGAGGTGTACGATATATTTATATGGCCTTAAATTATGATTTAAGGCCATTAAGTTTTTTTTCTTTTCTGGTATAAGCTCGTGTCATCTATTTTTGCTATACCTTGGATACACTATTCAGTTAAATATGTTTTTTTTAGCATAAATAAATAATTAAATTTTTTTTATTGAATTTATATTCAATTATTTTTTGTGAAATTACTCCACTAGTTTGTTATAATTATTAATACAAAGATCGAACACTCAGAAAAAACACTCAGAAAAAATTCGTGGCTTAGTTGGTATAGCGTCTGGCACGGTATGCAAGAAGACGTCGGTTCGAATCCGACCGGATCGAAGGAATTTTTTCTGTGTTTTTTCTGAGTGTTTTTTCGATCTTTGTATTAATAATTATAAATAAATAACTTTTATTTTTTATATCTTTACATCTGTGAGCTTTTTGTTCGCCCTTTACGCAAAAACGACTACACAAACTTAACCACGGTTCTTACACTTACAGTTGGATTGCTTAGTTGTAAAATTACGTACGTACACGTACGTACACGTACACACATTATTTATTGTGCCTACAATTAATCGGCTTTAAACTTTTATCTCAAAAATATATGGTTGCAAATAAATGCATCAAAAAAACAAATATACGCAACTCAGGTCCGAAAAAATAGTTCCATTTTCATAAATATTCATGCTAAATTATTAGAAGTAAACTTTCAGACCCTGGGTCCCTGGCGGTATCATTGAGGTTTTCCAGACTACAGATAAAAAAATGTTATAAATTAATATTGTATTAAAATACCAGGCATGGTTCCATGTTAGCAGTAATTTGAAAGAAGAAGTACTCAACAAAATAAGGAAAATAAAACAGGAAGTAAAAAATAAACCGAAAGCCATCATGTCCAACCGTGTGGAATTTTATTGAAACGCCAATAAAATGGGCTCAGAAGCATGACGACAAAATACTATATTATAAAATGTTTCAAAAACAAACGCGTCTCAGAAATCACAAAACAGACGTTCATTAATAAAATAAAGAATAGAAGCTGCAATGATTTGAGAGGTACATGTGATATGGATATTCACGTCACATATAGGTACCTCTTTGCGGACACACTGTCTGTATTGGCATTTTAAATAGTCATAGTTAAATACATTGTATTATTAAAGGTATATTTTAATGTGCATTTAAATGTGTATTCATTTGCTTTTCTGCGTTTCTTTTTAATTTTCAACTTATGTAAAAAATTTATCAACATAAATTATTTGGAAAACGTTGTGCAGTTATAGCAGCGCTGTTGTCGTGAAGCGCAGGCCACACCGCGGACGAAGCTAGGTAACTTAGCTAGCTCACGTAGTTGCGTCCAACCAACTATGCCAGCTAAGCTCACTTAGCTTAGTTCACGTAGTTGCATGCAAAACTAGTGCAGTGTATAGCAAATGTTGTGTATGTCTGTAATTGTTATATGTATCAGTTCTATATCTTACTACTTGGTGCCCGCGACTTCGTCTCCGCAGAATATATACTTCTTGTAGCCTTCTCTACTACTTATTTGAGAAATGATTGGTTCTCCATACAAATTTTCATCTCCTACTTCACCCCCTTTAAGATTTATTTTTGGGACAAAAGGTAACCTATATCCTTTCTCCTAGGTTCCATCTATCTTCAAAACTTTTCATATTCGGTTCATCGGTTTAAGAATCTATACAACCTCTAATGGCTTTGGTTGGTCTCGCATAATAGTGAAAGTGTTGTATCTATCAGTTTGGAAGAAATATGTAGTAAAATTGAGAATATATACTGATTACTACTCGATGTGAAAAGACGATTCCTAAAAATTTTTACGATAGAAAAAAAACGCAAACTTACCTCGAAATTTTAAAAGAAAAACGCTGCATTCAATAGATACTTTACATATATAGGTACTGTAAACTTAGGCGTAGCTCGTGTTGCATAGCGAGAGGTACTTTTATAAATATAAACTGGAATAATCTTCACAACTTGGTTTATTGTACTTTTTTACATATTTTCTAACTGAGGTTACATCTCGAACTACGAAGATGTTCTATTCTTTCTAAACTCCTATTTCAAACACATTCTAAATATAAAACTATATTCACTCAACCAGTAATTCTACTCATAGAGTAGAGCCTAGACTACATCCCTCTTCCTCACAACTGAAGGGGTGAACATCCCTAGCTGGTGCCCTACCTATGATAAGCAACTTACATAAGTGATTAGCCTTTACTATAGGCTAGCCACACACTGCTCGGAAGCTACTACTTTACCAACAAGTAAACCACCGAGGAGGCTATGGCTTTAGTCTGCCAAAAACCTATCTAAAAGGACAGACCATGACCACATCCTAATCAAACAATTCAAAATATAATTACTCGTTAGCTATCCTAGCTATTTAGGTAACCTGTCTAAATCCTAACTCTTTATTTCAGCTACCCTAGCTTGGCTGAATGATCCTAACAAATTTCTAAACATCACTACTAGAACTACCTAAGCTCTTAAGTGTGAAAACGTAACAGGCAGTTTCTTTCGCATTTATAATATCAGTTTTCATTTTTGTTGCTTGTCAATATGGTGTTATACATTATGATGTTGATGTGCCTATTATAATAAAATAAATAAAAATAGAAATATAAAGAGACGCACTACTTTGTCAAACCAAAACACTACAAATCCCTGTTCAGTGTTTTGTAATTTCCTTACAAGAATCTGCCGGCATCTATCAATGCAAAACAAATTAATTACTTTCATTAGAGATAGTTTATTTTGCAAATTATGATGGCTAGATAGAAATCTTTAATACATAACAATGTCGAAAAGTTCCTGTTGCAGCCTTTTCTTATAATGCCGTGTTTGACATTATAGTGTATCGCCTTGACACGGTCGCGCACTAGGTAAAATGTCTAATGCATCGCATTCTAAACATTTAGTTTTCGTTATATTTTTACATCATAAAACGTATAGCACACCAGCATAAATGCAGCAGCAACCAAAATAAATGTTTCCATTAAAAGACTCTGTTAAGTTGATTTTCATTTGTTTTCATATAAACGTCACTTGTTGCCGTGTGTAATTAGGGGAATATAAACATGCCATGACGCGACTACACGAGTACGAAATGCATTTAGAAATTCAACGGTGACAGCATGAATATGCAACGAGTTCACTGTAGTTCGTTGGGTGCAAATTATGTGATAGAAACGTATCGTTTATGATGTAGTACTCTGAGACCTTAAGAGCATTATTGCACGTGTGTAAAGTTGTCTTAAAAACATTTTTACTATTTTTCTTCCTGTTTTCGAGTAAAAAAAAAGATTTTGAAAAATGTGTTGTAACCTTCAGTTAGGTAGATACAGCAATACCCTATGATACTAACGCCCATATCCGACCTGTAGTTTCTGACGCATTTATGATTGAAATTTGTGTTCTGTATTTAAGAAAGTACACGTTAATGTTTTGTTTGAAAAAACAAATATACGCGATTTAAATCCGGAAAAATAGTTTCATTTCATACGTTAAAGATCAAATTGACTCAAAAACTTTCTTTAAGCATTATTTTACTAATAATACAACACGGAAGTCATATCAAATGTGTTTATCACTTTTCTTCACACTTATCTACCCAGAACCAAATGGTCGGTTAAGGGATCAGGTATCATAAGGGCATCGACTGTACAAGATTAAGAATGCGTCAAACTTGACACATGAGATTTAAATTCACCTCTAAGTCCAAGTGTCAAGCTTAATGTGCTGTTGACTGTACCTACTTGTACGTAGTTAATGTCAGCTATATAGGGTAGAAATTTGAGACGGGTCAACGAGGACAGATACTTTAACCATCACAGCTACTGGACAATGGTCTTGTAAACGGCAGCTTTGTACGATTTCTGACATTTCTAATACTTTTACGTCAGTTGGTCCCATAAAGACATTTGATCCTTGCCGAGAAATAGGATCGAATTGAATGAAAAAAATAATTTCGTAAAAATTGCCCTTTATTTGCCCATTGCCAGTTAAACTGAATGTAACATATTTTAAAAATTTTTGAAAGCCAATCGAAATATCTTCAAAATTAATGGCCAGTCTTCTAGGATCATTTGCCTGTAGCTATGACGATTGCTGACCCGTCTCAAATTTCATATAGCCGACAGTACTACATACAAGTAGGTACAGTCAACATCACATTAAGCTTGACACTTTGGACAAGAAAATGGCAGATTGTTGAAGATTTTGACTATCAAATTAACAAACAAAAACATAAATTAAATACACACCTATCAACATCAATAGTTAATATCAATACACTGTTTGCGTTCAACAACAAACCTATAACCTACTACCTAGCGATCAAACGTAGTGTCGGTACCCTCACTTCTGGTATCCACTGTTTGAACAAAGTGCTATATGAATAGTGGATGCTTAAGTGAGGTCACTGATGTAGCACACCAAGGACATAGCGGAAAACGTTTCATATAATTTCTATAAGGACATGTTTCTCTTTAGGTACTACAGAATACCTGCTAAATGTTGGTTTTCTACTGAAGCCCTATTAAATTCACATTTATACCAAAATTTTAAAATTACCCAGCGGTTTAATGACTCGTTGCCCCGCAGTCGTCATCGGACGCTTGTTGACGACGTATTTTTATCAAATTTCTCCGCCTGTTCTTATTTTATTCATATTCAACAGCCTCCGTGGCCGAACAGTTACCATGCCACGAAGAGGTACCAGATTCGATTCCCGGGCCGGGAGAAATATTTGTGTGGCCTACATTTATTTCTCTAGTGAGTTTGAGTGTAATTTGTGATTGTCTATGTGTGTGTCCATGGCATCCGCGACACAGGGTTTCCCTAGTGCGGGGCTATGTTGAGTGTGTGCGTTGTTATTATTATTATTATATTAATTGTCAGCGTGCGGATTGAGGGACGGGTTTACCTCCTAAAATGTAGGTTCGCGTTGAAATTTCGCGTACGCCTTAAAGCTTTTCCATGTATTTTACTTAGTATTTTCGTTAAGAACCTCCAATCGGAATTTTAAACAACTGCACGCCACTTATAATCAAAGTATTATAAGTTGCTAAAACATAATTCGTTCCCGCTTCACTTTGGTAAATAACGAACCTACAAATTATTTGTAGTCTGGCCTTGATTACTCTATTTTTTTTCTCGTTGATGTTGATTACTCGACTGCCTTATTTATTATTCTTGAGTGAAATAAATATATTATAATTGTTCGTACAAAGATCGGGTTTGTAGCATCTGAACCCGGGGTCGGTTTAAAGTTGCACCATTCCGTGGATCATACAGGAGCGGTTGCCCTGGTTTATAGCACAAACACAGTTTCGTGTCCTATCAAAATTCGAGGGAAAAAAAGGAATATTTCTTTATAACCATCGAGTATATAACCAGAAATAGAGGCGAAATGTCATTTAATTTGTTCGAAAACCATTCTGCCATATCATTACTGTGACAACTGCGCTCCGATTGGCTAGCCTGGGGGTCTACTCTCGCGATCTCCGTCCGACATCTGTTCGAAACAATTACTGTCAAATAAGTAATATTCAACAAAATTAAAAGACAACTATCAAGTATGAAGCTTCATTCGCAATCACGCGTCTTTTCATTTGGTTCCCCTGAGTTCGAAACAATTGACGGGTCTCGTCAACTGTTTCACTTTTCATCGACCAGTTAACTCGAGCTTTGCTATAATGGACGAAAATTGCAAAATTGCATATTTAATGTTTAATTACCGATGAAAATTGATTCCGTTTGTTTTGTAATTAGATGTTTTGCCGTTTTTCCCACACCACCGAATAGAACAACACGGCATTGTTAGAGATATTATCTATATTACAATAACTACAGAATATTTTTTGGTCAGTAGTTGGCCTGTCTATATTGCAGTGCAAACGGGAGTTGATATTTTTAAGAGCTGTATCGCTAATGTGTTACCAGGAATATATGGCCCTTATTTCGTCTCTATTTCTGGTTATATATCGATGATTATAACAAACTAGTGGAGTAATTTTACAAAAAATAAATGAATATCATGGTAGTAAAACATCATAATATTAATTATACAACTAATATTAAATATATTACGTATGAGATTTTTATATTCTACGGTCAACGGCACATCAGGCTACACATTTTTGTTCGAAAATCGCCTTCATTGCAACGGAACAAGATACGTCAATGTGTAGCGTGATGTCCTGGCGTGTGTACCTAATAGACCTAATAAAAAGTCAACTGACAATAACTCAGTAAACTACAGTTTATTTAGTACTAAAATACACTTATTATACATAATGACAAACAATGAACAATTTTTTTATTGTACCATGTGAATTGAATTGTGACACAGTAAAAAATTCCATAAAGATTATTTTGAATGTGGTACACTCGGCAAAACCATAGAGATACTAAAGTATGATACAGTAAGCAGTAGGTCAACTGTTGCTAATTTAAATAGAATACTTACTAGTGGCGCGGATGTTTGGCCTGGAACATCGCAAGAGCACTTTTGGAGTTACGTTTGCCGGGAACATCGCGTTCAGTCGCCATTTCCTTACTTAGCATGTGGTCTAGACAATTTTAATTTATAGCTTTGATATACATTTAGAAATTCAGTTTGGTTTGTTAATGTCGTATGCAAATACAGAGACGAACAAAAGGTATTGAAATTTTAAGCAATTCTTTGAAGACATAATACGTTTTTTGTAGCAGTAGTTTTCTTTATATAAGAGTTCTTCCAGGGAAACACTGCCACTTTATTTCTGCCGCCAAGGAGTAATGTGAGCACATAGATAAAGGGGGTCTATGCGCAAGCATTATTGCGTTTCGGTTTTGGTGTGCTGGTGGAATTACAGGCACATGGAACATTTCAACTTTCAAGGTTATGGTCGCAGTTGCTTTGCAATTTAAAGCTCTGAGCGGCACGTATGGACAGGCGTGTCGCTTAACACCAGGCGCACGACTTGGTCGTCCCATTACTTGATATCATAAAAAAAGTCTTCACCCCAGAATAGGTGAGCAGGGGATTATGGCTTAAGAAATGCCACTTGCCTAAACAACTACGATCATGACACTGGGAGGTATAACTAACTAGAAAAGAATACGATCAACAATAGGAGGTTATTAAATATAGTACTATAAAGTTGTACTTACTCTTAAAGGCATTAGTCCTTTTATTATATTCCTGTTCGAGCGCCGCAGGGAGGAGCCCAGGGTACAGTTGCATTGGTGTTCGATAGAAATCTGTATAGAAATGAGGTTTTTTATAGCTATATGTCAAATAAGCACCTACAAAAATAAGTTATTAACTTTTATCTTACGTTTTGAGCATGAAACACACAGAGAGCGGGTGCGGGTCGGGCGCAGGTCGGGTCGGGACTGCGGCGGGTCTAATTCCGTGTATTTATATGATACAACACACCGAGTCCGAGTGCGAGACGGGCGGAATTAGACCCGCCACGGTCCAGACTCGACCCGCGCTCGACACGCACCCGCTGTCTGCGTTTCACGCTTTAGTGAATGTTTATCATCTCTTAACCAATTTATGTCGTAAAAAATTTTGGAAACTAAATATTGTGTACATCTTTTCAATGTGTGTTCACTCTATAAAACTATCAAGACTCTTCAATCAAGATCTTTCCTGTGATGTTATACTCATATGTACACGGAAACACAGATACAAGACAACGTGGTCAATTTAGTGGCTAGGCGAATTAAAAAGGATGCTTCGTAGCGTTTGGTGTACGACCAAATGTTATACGAAAGTCCCAACAGATAACATACTTAATTCAACATTAATTAGGTCAGCTTCGTGGTCTAAAGAAAACTCAGCGGTGGTATATGCCTTGATACAAACATACATTTAAATGGAATTTACTCACATAATAGCCGCTCACTGTTAGCGGGGATCTCTGGAATACCTTCATCAGACCGTGCTCGCAAATAATCTGCAAATATTGAGTTATGTATTACAAGTACCTGAGAAACATTTCATAAATCTTTTTTCCTCATTTGCTTTAGAAATAACATTAATTGAATCTGAAAACGAATGTTTATCTTCGTAAAATTCGACTAAGCCCTGAAATATATCCAGAGAGTAATTAGTAACAAAAGACAGAAATACCAGGCAGTACAAATGAAATTCAATCTAAGCATATCAGCTAACAATACCTACATCTAATTAAACAGAGCAAAAAGTCGAGAATTCTCTTTATAGAGCAACTTAATTACGATTTGGCTTGCTTTGATTGTAGAGAACGTTTCCTGTTCTTAGTCTAATTGTGTATTCCAATTTAAGTTTTATATCGAGTTCTTATAGGTCTTGGTGATTGTTACACATAGGAAGTAAAACAATTTTTTTGGATGTAAATCGCGAATATTTGTTTTATCAAACAAATAAACGTTTTTTTTGGTTTTCAGTCAATCCGCCATGACCATGGAACCTGTAGAGCCCGAAACGTTCGTTTATTTGAAAAAACAAATATACACTATTAAGATCAGAAAAAATAGTTTAATTTTCTATATTTTATTAGAGGTGTTGTCCGCTTCCGTAAGTTTACCCTCGAGAACCTACCTACAAGTGACCGCTGGATGGTGGCAAACAAGTAATAACTACTTGTGATAGGCCTCGGCCATGGCTAGTTACCACCCTCCCAACGCAGTCGAGTCGCCAAATGGTTTATCCGTGTTCCGGCTGGTTTTAAACTGCTTCCGTGGCCGTGGTTCCGTGGTTCCCAGGTTCGATTCCCGAGCCGAGAGAAATATTTGTATGGCCTACATTTGTTTCTCTCGTGAGTTTGGGTGTAATTTGTGGTTGTCTATGCGTATGTCGATGGCACACGCGACACAGGGTTTCCCTAATGTGGGGTGTGAGTGTGTGCGTTATTATATTATTATTATTATTTCTATTTTAGACTCTCGCCTCTCCTAAGGCCTAAACGGTTAATTTTGAATTTTTAAATTATTATTATTCGGAAGTTGCCATTAGAAAGAAAGAAAGAAAGAAAGAAAGAAAAATAGTTTATTTGGTAACCATAATACACATTAATGTAAACATTAAGAGGTAGGATGTGAACAGCTGTTTATAGCCGCAGTGTGTGCAGCTGTTTACACTGCCACACTGAGCATTCGGTTCTGGAGACTAGCGGGATCCGGAGCACGGTGCACCGCTGGTCGGCCATGGAATTTTGGGGAAAAGACTGCCCAGCTACACAACGAAAAATTACGGAATGCTCCACCTTGCCGGTTCGTAACCCGGGGGGAGGGGGACCAGTAGGCCTACCATAACCTTTCCAAAAACAATCTTATTTCAATGTAAGCATAGAGTAAGCTTATTGTAATATTATTTATTATGAGCTTATTATGAGCTCCTACCCGTTGACTTAAAAAAATGAGCCTAATGATGAAACATTTGATCGACTGAAAGACTTTTTGTTGGATAATGCGTATTATTCCAATGACGAATATAGGGACATGATCTTGTAATATATGTTGTAATTTATAGATTATTAGGTATAAATATTATTTTACAGAAATGAATAAATTACATAAACTGTGTGCATATTGACATAATTATTATTATATTATTTAATATGTTCCTACATTATTTCACATAACTACATTGACTATGTTAAAATTATGTAGTACAAAACTTGTACTGGATATTTGTAATTTTTTGTAATGTAACATTTATTACTATTTGTAACGATTCTTGTTATACAATATATTGTATATAATAATGTAAAGTTTACAAGATAATAAATAAATCTAAATCTAAATCTTTCGTACCATGACAAACCTATCAACTAAGTGATGTATTATTGCTAAAGTAGTCACTTTCAGTCGAAAGAACGGCAGATTTCCCAATATTGTCTATTCCTTACTAGAAGTAGGAAAGAAATAACGGTATATGAACTGTATAATGCCATCTCTTTCTTTTTTGATGTTCCGAATCGTGTTATCGTAGTATAATGTTAAAGTACTTAGTATTATTTACATTCAGAGAATTTTAAATCCCAATAAAAGAAAAGTATCTAATAATGAACTCTATTAACTGCCTCCGTGGCCGAACGATTACCATGCCGGACTAAAAATAATATTGTTTCCATTGAATCCGTGTAACTATTTTAAGATTGCTAAATTTGACATAAGAGCATTATTACTTTAATGTCAAAGTCGCGTGATAGTACGTACTGAGTGAATGAATAGTCACAAAGTTGCCAATAAAACATCATAGTTTTAACATTACAAAAAATCTTACTTTAAGCGCGTTATGGTACGAAAAGTCAATGTAAGGTTAAAGTAATATTGTTTTCAGAAGTTGTGGTAGGCCCCCAGGTGGATATCTCCGGAGGGGTTAGGGCGTCTCCAAACTAATTGTACCCTCTTGTGGCAGTGTGAGCTTGTTGCTTGGTTGGACACGACGCAATGTCTCGTTCAACTGCCTTCCTCCTGCCTATTCCCTTCTCCATAAAAACATGAAAACAAAAAAGGTAGGAAGTTTACACAGCGGTTGCACGTCCTCCCACTAAAAGTGTACCTCACCAACATCCGCGATCTGCAATCAAATCTCGACTCGATGTACCATCATGTTAAAGCCGATAAATCGCAGCTGATGTTCCTCACTGAGATGCAGATCAGATGTCCGACTGACGCGGCGTATGGTTGTTCCCATGCCAGATGACCGATCACGCTGGGAGTGAGACACGAAAAATTTCGTTAAGGCTAAACCTTTTCCAACTAATCAGTGGCGCCACAAAGATCCTAGATGTTGAGTCTTATACGATTAATTGCCTAGACCTTCTGCAAACAACTGATCCAGACCCATACTATGTAGTTGTAGACACCATTGGGTACTTCTGACCATTGTCTGGTGAAAGCTGTATCCGTACACTCCCCACACGATCAGGGCTCTTGTGGTACGAGACGGCCGTGGCGATACACAATTATCTGATTCGGACGAAATGTGCCACTTTTTGCTTCGTAACCCTGCCAGGCTTGCTTTACTTGTCACTCGTCGAGCTGTGCTGATGCTGTAGTCGAGGTCTTACGTTTCGGAATGGAGTATTTATTACATACCATATTTCGATGTATCCAATAGACAACAAGCTCGTCCATGGTTTAACGCTGACTGTAGTCATGCTGAAGCACAAAAACAGTCTGCGTGCCAAGCTTGGGCAGATGCTCGACTGCGCAAAGCTCCGAACACGCGGAATCTGGAGAAAGCCTTTAGTAAAATCGCCAAAAAGAGGAGGAGGAAGAAAAAACACTATAACTTGGAACCTTTTCAAGGCGAGAGTGAATAGACATTATTTAGGTGTGCATGTTACACCATCTACCTCATCGTCACTTTCAATCAGTTGAGATGGAGGTCAAATATGCACTTATTGTTGTATAAAAAAAATTAAGTTTTAGTACTGATTATTAATTCATCTTTTAGGCCAGACATTCTATGAGAACGTTTACTTATACTTCGAATCACACACACAATTTCTAATACAAGTGAACTTGAAATCTACACTTACATTTATTAATATCATAATATCAAAAATTATCGAAGCAATGAGTATTGCTTAGCAAAAACGAGTATTTTTGCTATATATTCAATATCTCCTCAAATTCGCAAATATGTTGTATAAAAGGTTTATAAACATTTCTTATTAGCCCTTTATACAAAACAATCCTACTTATTACATCCAAATATATACAAGCCATTATTGTGCTATCAAAACATATTCCCAAGATAGTTCATGTCATGTATATTGATATAAGCGGCTCGCTCATTTAGGCGGTTATTAAGACCAATGAAGGAGCGACCGACCGGAACGAAGCAAAGGAAACAGTCATGATACGGTAATAACCCGACGGATAACACGCTATAGTCATGCTAAGTACGGGAGAATTAGGAAGCGTTTGGAATTTGTGATCTCAATAAATTTTACATTATGATATCATTTTATTCAACCCTCGTTGGGCGTGTTAGGCTATCACCATAGTAGATGAGACAAGTAACAAATCCCACCTACTCGGCGCGTCAATGCCTCACACGTCACTCGAAGCGTAGGGTTGTCACGTTATTTATTTTAGTCATATTTTAGAAGTAGTGCGCCTTGTGACAGAGTTCGTTCAGGGAAGCACTGCCACTTTAGCTATTTCTACTGCCAAGCAGAGTTCCAGTTTAGTTGTAACTACAGGCACATGAGACGAGTCAACTTGTATCTCAGGGTGAAGGGCGCAATGCAGTGCCCCTCAGATCTTTGTCATTTAAAGCTCTCAGTAGTGTAGTCTTGTTCGTCCCGTCACTTGGTATGAGGAAAAAACCAAACAGGTTACAAAACTTAATTTGAAAAGTTTTTTTTTTTTTTTTTTTTTTATTCGGTTCACAAAACTGGATACAATTCAAATTTCAGATAAAAGTGTTTGGTTGATATTATGTTACAAGAAGAATGTACCCTACTAGACGTGAACACAACATGCGAATTGAGAAAATAAATGCTTAAATAATAATATTAATTAAATTACAGTGATTATACACTAGTCTCTGAAGAAAACAGGATAACAAAAACACAAAGTGCACTTAGCTTTTAAGGCAATTTCTAATTGAGTTCCTAGCTGAGGCCTCAGAACCAAAGAATATGTCAAAATCAAATCTGACAGCATTGTACGAGGAGCACATACGATAAAGTGGACAGTGTTGACCAAGATTCGTCTTACAATTAGGAAGCGAGAAAGTTTTACGATTATGTAGGCGGCTACCGGGACGGTGGACTGACAGGCGCAAACTCTCAAGGCTATCAGGTGCGTCTATAAAACCATGAATAAGTTTGAATAAAAACATCAAATCAAGGGCTTTTCGACGCTTTTGGAGTGAGGACATTTTAAAGTAAGAGAGACGCGACTCATAAGAGAAAAGCTGTTTAGACTTTAAATTATTAAACGTTAGATGATAGAGAAAACGTTTTTGAATACGTTCAATTCTATCAGAATGAACCTGATAACCTGGGTTCCAGACAGTGGAACAGTATTCCAAAATACTTCGTATTAAGCTATTGTATATTAAAATGGATATTGTGGGTTCGTTAAAAATTTTCATTTGTCTGGACACAAAACCAGTCAACCTTGAAGCTTTACTGGTAATTAAGTCTACATGATTACGAAAACTTAAGGTAGCGTCCATGACGACTCCCAAGTCCCGAATGCAAGTAACCTCCGTTAAGGGTATATGGTTAATAAAATAAGTGACTGCTAAAGGCCTCCGGCGCCTGGTAAACTTAATGTGTTGGCATTTATTTGTGTTTAGCATCATAGCATTATTACAACACCACAGATGGACTCTGTCAAGATCGTCCTGAAGTAACTGGGCATCACCAGGCGAGTCAATAGCTCTGTAAAGCTTCAGGTCGTCAGCATACATTTTGAATTTAGAATGCAATGAAAAAGTAATGTCGTTGACGAACATCAGAAAAAATAGGGGACCTAGATGGGAGCCCTGGGGCACACCGGATGGCACTGCTATCACTTCGGACCTAAAGCCACAAACCGTAACCAGCTGAGATCTATTGCGTAGGTAAGATTCACACCATCTTAACAGCGAACCGTGAATTCCCATCTGTTCCATCTTGTCAAGAAGAACATCATGATGCACGAGATCAAACGCCTTTTTAAAGTCGGTGTACACTGCATGCACCTCACCGCCCCCATCCAGAATATCTGATAAATCTGATACATATGCCACCAGATTCGAGGAAGTTGATCTATGTGGCAAAAATCCGTGCTGGCTTTTGTTAATTAAGTTTTTGATATGGAAGTACATTTTTTTTTGCATGAGCGATTCCAAAATTTTGCCGTAAAAGTTAAAGTATTCATCACAGTATTCACGTGCTTGTATTTGTTGACCTTTGTCAAGTGCAATACTTACATATTATGACATTTTATACCAGCATCGCGAATTAGGATCTCGATTGTGAGATTCTTACATTCATAAATTAAAAAAATATTACTTTGACACAATAAAATATCTTAAACACCGAGCAATTGCTTCAATACTATAATGAATAGCGCGCTGTGCAACTCGAGAGCACCGCGAGATTATACGAGTAATGTGCGTAAGTATACGGCTCACGACGAGCTTGCACAAATACAAGCCGCGCTGCCTACATCGTATGGAGTTACACATTTGTCTTATTATATATACTAAACTATATCAGGAAATCTTCCTAGAAGTGTCACGTAATATGAGTTGAATAGTAAGGGGATATTCTGGTAATACGAATTACATTTTTCTTAAAACTTAAGGAAATTCTATATCATTGGTGTTTTGTAGAAAGGGCGCTATTTCGAAATTTTTTTCCGGGTAACATGTTTTAGGTTTGAATTTAAAACAAGACATAGATTTTTTAAGACAGTCGTAAAAAACTAAAACATGCTCCCCCGAAAAAAAATTTGAAATGGTGTTTTTGCCCTTCCTACAAAACACCGACGTTATTATAGAACACAATACAAATTTTCTGTCTGCCTTCACATTTAATGTATTCTTATTAACTCTGTTTTCTTCGGGAAATTTTGATTTATTAAACAGATTTGTGCTATTGCCAATTATGACAGTGCATTCACCATTGATCGATGAATTCATTTCCAATTGTTGTTAATCTGAGCAAAGCGAACGTGAAACTAAAAACTGTTTTGCAGCGAATTTACTTACTCCGAAATAAGCAGACCAGATTTTATTAATTACCTCTATTTTTAAAACTCCGCATGCAAAATCCTCTCATAATGTTTCATTCAATTAAAACTAATAGGTATCTGTGCTTACGAGTAAAATTCAGCCAAACTCGAAACTAGCAAACCAACTACATTGAAAGTTAGCAAAATTCCCAGTCTCAGGGAAACGCACAAAGCTCCCAACGCCGGTTGGAATAAACCTTTTAATAGTGAGCCATTTTCGTTAAATGAATAAATGTGAATTCAGGTTTCAATAATCTCGTACCAATGACGCAGCATTTTAGAAAGGCAACGTAATGTTTTCCCGATTAATAGAACTGGTAATAAATAAAATGAACACGCTAAATCTTTGGAAGAACGTTTATTATGTATATGTAGGTCTTCTATTTAAAGTTGGGTAAATAGCTTAAGGGCTTTTGCGCACTACGTCCGTGTCGTATCAGTTCCGAATCCGAGAAATGGCGGTCCGAAATATCACAGGGATCATTTTATATCTAAGGCTCAACTCGCACTGGCGCAGAGTCGAAGCGTCGCGACGCGACATGTTTTTCGCCTATAGCATATTCATCTCTATTTTCCCATTATTAAGGTACAAATTTGTGTTATGCAAATATGGAGTCGCGGGTCGGCGCTTGGCTGCAGTCGAGCGGCTTCACGCGTCGACCGCGTCGCTGCGTGTTACTTGGGCGCAGTGAGACGTCAGACGCCGACCACACTGTGATCCGGGCGTACTAACGATTCGACTCTGCGCCAGTGTGAGTTGACCCTAAGTGCACAAGCGACTTCAGAAGTGGGTCCAAGTTTTCTAGATTTGTATGGTCTTGGATTCGGAATGAATACTAATCGGATGTAGAGCGCAAACGCGCTAACTATAAAAACTAATGGTTTTCGCGATGGATACACATAGGAATATGAGATAGCCATGCTACGGGGGCTGGTACTTATAATTATGATTAATAAATTTTCCACACATAACGTACGAGTTATTTTGGCAACTTTTTGTTTTGGGTATTGTACCTAGTATCACTTTATTAGGTACTGACAGTTAACGTTAAAGGTAATTATTATCTCAAAATGTAAAAATCGGAAACAAAAACAAGAAAGAAAGGATTTACATCTATTGAAATACTATGCATATTTAATAAAGAAAGCACAGATTACATAAAAGAAAAAACTAGTACAAACAAGCGATTCGAAAAGAAAAGAACAAAAACGAAGGAAGAAAGGATATGAAAATATTCTGTAAAAAATGTGGAATTAAAATAGGAAAAAGAATACAGGGAGAATAAAATTACAAATTTCAGACTCACCTTTATAGAAGTTGAAGCCATCTTTATCGGAGGCCATTGTTGGCAATACAATAGCAAAAATAGTTAGAGAACAAATTAACACATAAAATTCCCTCATTTTGACTAATCTTTAGTTACTTACACAAGAAGGCTTGAAGGAAACTGATGAAAGGGGATGTAAGCCTGGCTTTTTATAGGCAACAAGACAGTGTTGGATGTACAAATAGGTAGGGAAGCGTAGGAGTATTTCAAGGAGATGTTCTGCAGGTGACATTAATGTAGTGCATAGGGCTGTTAACAATGTAAACACAGATGGTTTTGAAAATATGCGTTCATCTTGCATATTTTGAGTATAAAACAATTAAAATATTAAATATTAGACAACATACGTTTCTCCGATCCCAAAGTAAGTAATTAAAGCACTTGTGTTATGGAAATCACGACAGTGCCACCATTCCCCACATCCGAGACAATACAGAAAAGTTGGTTTTTTTACATTGACTCGGCCGGGGTTCTAACCCGGAACCTCAGAGATGGCGACACAGTGAAAACCGGTGTGCAAGCCCCCCGACCGTCATTGAATATGGTAAGGTTGCGTTAGTCGTACCTCCTAAGAAAAAACCGCTGTAATATTTAAGGTTATTTAAATTAAACAAAACCTTTAGCGTCTACGGGATCTTTATTTATTTTACTATCAATGTATTGTAATGAAAATACCAAAAACGTTTATTGAGCCAGGTATTGATAAGATTTTCAAAAAGCACCTGTGTTACGATTTAGGCACTTGGTCGCCTAATTCGTACCACCTATAACCTAAGTCGTACTTAAAATGACACTTCAGTTAGGACATCATAAACTGTATAGTACAGTACTAATAAAAAGAGATCATAGTAACAATTAAAATCTAGAAACAAGTACTAAGGTCTAAGGTGGTTATAATCAAATAATTCTTAATATTTTTGAAGGGAGGGAACAATCCCAAAATCTCATGTGTAAGGGAACACAGAAAACAAAAATTTTAAACTCTTAAGAAATAGAATTATGAATTGTAATGAAATAAAATTATAATTTCTTCTGAAATAAAATTATAAATTGTAATGAAATAAAATTAGAAGTAAATATTTCTGAAATAAAATTAAAAATTTTAATTAAATAAAATTAAAATTCTCCTGAAATGAACTTACAAATTCTAATGAAGTAAAATTAACATGGTTCGGTAATAAAATAAAGGCATATTATATAATAATGGCACTACAAAATTAGTTTTGTTGAACACAAATATATTATTTAGCTGAAAAAACTAAGAAACAATTTTATACATTCCTAAGTCGTACCGGTACTATTAAGGAATTTTCCACTTAAGCAACAACACTTTCAAATTTTCAAATCAAAAGTACTGTGTTATAACATAAAAAGATCTGCCGTTTGCTTGTGCTTAAATAAATGCTAAATACGTCAAAAATAGACGAATACCAAAAAAATAAATTTTCCACTATATTGCTCCTTGGAATAGCTTCCTAATGAATGAGACATTTTAAAGAAAACAGTGCAAAAGCTTACTTTTTCATATTTTTCCCAATACGAACGTCAGCCTGCCGCCGGTTTGTTTTTGTTTACTCGCTTAACTTAATAGTTCAAATTTATATTACTAGATATTACTGCCCACGCATGTGAGACCAGATATCGCTGGAGTACGGCTTAGGCGGTGGTACGACTAACGCAACCTTACCCTAAATAATTATAATACTTAATCGAAGCAAACAAGTATTGTTTATATGCCTCCGTGGTTAAAATTATAATTGAGTCAAACCACATTTCATGCAATTATAAGCTTTGACACTGACGTTAGAAAAATTACGTTCTCTGTTCATAAAACCTATTTCCGAAGTGATCAATTCTTACCACAGCAAAGCCCATAATCAAGGCAATTATCTTTTTTTGCCGCAGTCGTAAATAAAGAAAGAAGTAAAGATATAGATGGAGTTTACGCATTTCTCTACTATCTGAGGTACTAAAACAAAGCAAAATCTCATCAGCGGCCGCCATAAAATCAAACAGCCCTGGCCGCATTTTTACAGATTGTTGGAAAATTCCGTAAACGTCGTAACAGTCCGCCTGACCTGTTAGTAGAGGGAACAAGCTGGCACCCTCAGTGGGGCGTCCTCATGCAAATGTTCAAGACATTCCCCGGGACATTTTATGCCTCAATTATTTCAAAGATATTCCCCTTGGGTTTACTGTAAATGCGTTATTGCAATATGCATGACGTAATTAACACTTTTATTCAATATGTACAGTATGTGAGTGTTAAATATGTGGGAGGATCGTCTGTAAATTTTACAAACAATTTGTATTTTCAAGCTATAAAGATTTTTTAAATAATGTTAGAAATAAAACTTAAATTAACATTTATTTCCTTATAGACGCTCCAACAGAAATACAATATTAAACATAGACATAAAATAACATTACAGAAATTCCTCTAGTGTAAGTAAACCCAATTATAGACAAATACAGCGTACACATAATATCGTATCAGAAGTATTTACTGTGTGTTATATTACAGACAAACAAATAGATATGATTGTAAACAATAATTTAAATGTATTTAGATGAAATTGTAGAGTTAATGAATTGTTAGTCTGAGCAGTTATATGTAGTAGGTACCTGTAATAAAATTTTATATGTAACGAAAACAAATGCAAATCAGAAGACCTACGTTCATAAGTTTCGTGTAATTTATTGTTTTATATAACATTTAGTAATTGTAGTTATAGAATAGAATACGGTTATTTTCAAGGATACAGTAATTATATAGGTCTAATATAAAATTTGATACATTGTAATCAACCTGTAAGCAGATGTGCATTTGATGGAATTTCGTAACAATAATAATTCATTTCTTTGTGAAAACACAAGTTATTATGAGTTGGCGGTATGAATAAAAAGTAATAAGTTCCAGGATCTCGACTCCGACTACCTATTTACAGCCTATGGAGTCGAAACCCTTGGCCCGTGGGGTCCCGGTGCCCTTCATCTGTACAAAATTTTATCTAATAAATTAATAGACTGTCTGGGAAGCCCAAGCCCAGCTTGCCCGACGCATTAGTATAGCCATACAAAGGCGGAACGTTGCCAGCATCTTGGGCACTTTATTCATATAATTTAAAAATCGTAGTTTTACTTCCTAGTATTTAAGCTTTTATTGTACAATATAGTCATTAAAAAAAGTTATAGGTATAGAAGCTGACATGTACAAAATAAGTAAGTTTCACTGTATCCTGTCAAACATTAGGCACACAAATATTGAAAAAAATTCTTTTTCACTTCTCATGCTCTTAAAGTTCGTATTTATGTAGTATGTAAGTGCATAAAATAAAATCGTCGTTTAAGACCGAGGCAATGACGCTTGCGCCAACAGCCACACACACTAGAACTTTATAAAATAAAGTTTCACTTTTGTTTTTTAATCCGAGTTATATTACAAAATTAAAAAGTAGTTAAAAATTACTTAATAATAATAATAATAATAAATTACAAGAAATAGAAATGCATTAAAAGTAAAAGCTTGTGAAATATAACTGAGCATTATGTAGTCCGACCTGAGACAGGTGTAGAAAAAAAATTAGTACATTGACGGAAAGTTCTTATTTTTCCTTGGCAATAGTTGCGTTATCGTTTATTTTGAACATTGTTGTTTAATTTCCTCGCAATCGAAGTGAAAAGCAGAGTGTATAACTCGTTCATAAAACTCATTTCACCCTCGACTTAAAATGTCGCGTAAAATCTCGGGTAAAATGACGCACTTGTTGTACACTCTACTATATTGCTTAAAAATTCCCAATAATAGTGACTTTCATAAAAGGTCTCAGTATTTCTAAGCAATACGAAATGAGAATGGTTGGATGGCTGACGACACTTGAGACCCGAGCTTTCAGCAAATGAGCGACACGGCCTTTACAACTGTGCACTGAACAAAGAGCTCTCACCTCGAGTCTTATGCACCAGCCATCGTAACCAGATCTCCTCTCTTCCGTACAAATTCCTTACAAAAACGCGTAAAATCGCGAAGTCAGCGGGTCTGCCGAAAATGGTATGCCCCATGTTAAAATTCTTAACATTCCGTTGCGCATTTCTACACGAGGGAGTGTGATAATTGTAGTCGTTTTCTTTTTAGTTTTGTGACAGTGAAATGTTTTGAATTAAGTAGGTACGGTTTGGTATTAATTAAAATGGTAGGTATTAATAATTAATTTACGCATTTTAACCACTTACGTCATCATTTTAAAATAATCCATGGCGTTTCCACTTGCCCTTGAAGTATAGGGTTTTTCAACAAGAACTTTGTTTTGTAAATCAAAATAAAACAATAAATTTAGATGACAATGAATCAAATTTTTATTGTATTAAAAAAAAGTAAGGTTTGGCAATTATGAATGAAAAATTATATCTGATAAATGTCCACCACGACCATGGTTACAGTTGACGAGTTCTTAATCACGTTTTGACAAAATGGTGGGTCTATTTCGTTAATCACTTCGCGAATTTTGAGTTTTAAGGCTGCAGTCGCTTCGATTGGCTCCGTATAGACTCTGTCTTTAACATAACCATAAAAAATAATCCAGCGGTATTAAATCACATGATCGAACTGGTCACTTAACGGCTGAATTTCGTCGAATCATGCGATCGGGAAATTTGATTTGCAATAAATTCATTGTTTCGGTGGCTGTGTGACTTGTGGCACCGTCTTGTTGAAAACCACATGTTAGTGATATCCATATCATCAATAATATTGAGTTGTTAACATCTCTCGATAGCGTAATCCATTGACCGTAACCGCATTTCTAGCCGAATTTTCGATAAAAAACGGCCCAACGGCAACGGCACAAGTCACACAGCTACCGAAACAATGAATTTATTGCAAAACAAAATTTCCCGATCTCATAATATCCGCGCTCACGCGGCGCTCTTTTCACGGTGCGTTTTCAAGAGAAGCACGGCGGGCCACGAGACGGGCCACTGGCCGTGGGAAACCACCTATATTACGGTTCTTTTACA